CTCTCTCTCTCTCTCTCTCTCACACACACACACACCTTTATATCAATTAATTGACCACTTAAGCATAAATAACATGAAGTGGAAAAGAAAATTGAAAGAGTTTTGTTGTATCCCAAACTACTAAGCAGAAGACAACATTGAATTAAAAAGTTACATAAGCTGATTATTTGATTAGGCTACTTCTCTTTTTGGTGGATATAAATCATTGGATCTCACAATATCAAATTAGATTAGGTGGATCTTTTGAATTTGCTTATATCTGAAGATAAGATTGCGATGAATATTTTAAATTAAGTTGCAATTAACTAGACGAGTAACCTAGTGGGAATCAACTAGACTAGTATGAACCTCAAAGGGTTAGCCTAGTGATAACTCAGTCAGATGATAAACCTCTTAAGAGGGACAAGTCAAGAGTTCGNCTAGACTAGTATGAACCTCAAAGGGTTAGCCTAGTGATAACTCAGTCAGATGATAAAGAGGGACAAGTCAAGAGTTCANAAAAGTGTTGATATTTCAGAAAACTCCCATGGAAGTGTCATGTGGAAATTGAATAAAGAGCTTTACAAATCACATTAATTTATCAGCAAGTTTTACCACCAACATAGACTGCAAAAATGCATTTTTTGGTATTTATAGCAGATTGTCTGATAGAACGAGGGGAGAAACAAAAGAAGAGACTTTGGAAAAATCCCAGCCGATTGATGTGCTTCCAAGTTCCAAGGTACTCTGATCAGTGGTCATGAACAAGAAAGTTCTGAAATTGCTTTTAAGGGAATTTTTTTCATTATTTTGCTTGGTGGTCTGATTCTTTTGCAATACTGGTGTTACATTTATAAACCAAGCCAGTGATGATATATGTAAGGGGTAGATATCGCTACGGATCTCATCCCTCCACTTGAAGGATTCCGGCTGACCTGGCGGCACCGAGCCCCAGTAGCTTTTACCTCTCTTCGCCAATAACCCCGGGGAAGACGACTCTCTTCCGATGTGGGATTGCCTTAGGAAAGGGTCCTATTTGCCTTAGGAAAGGGTCCTATGGTCTTATTGGTGAAGAGAGGTAAAGGCTACTGGGGCTCGGTGCTGCCAGGTCAGCCGGAATCCTTTAAGTGGAGAGATGAGATCCGTAGCAATTTCTACCCCTTACAATATAGATACTGACCTTTCTGCTGCCCATAAGCTCAAATGCAATGTCATCTTCACTAGCATTCTTCTGAAGCTGAAAGGACCATTGGGAACCCATCAAAGACCATCCTTCTCCAAGCAACTCCGCAAGAAGACATGTTTTACCAGATCTTGTTACGCCAATTACTTCTTTTCTAGAAGTACAACTGCTCTTCCCCTCTGATTTCTTTGGATCCCCACTACAAACAGAGCCCAAATTATTGACATTAGACCTTCAGAATGGTTTATAATTTCAAGTTCTATCGTGTGATTACAAATGCCTTGGAAAATTTATGAAAATGAGAGAGATTAAGATAGTTTATGAAGATGATACAATAATATAAATAATTCATTGCATTATGCAGTTGCCCTTCAAAAGCATGCTCATAAATGAGTATGCACCTCATTCGGACACTGATGACCTCGTTGCCAGCCTCATCTACAATACATGTCCAACTCTTGGCCTGTTGAAACCTTTCAGGAAGTGGAAAGGAAGAAGTGCTTGATAATGGGTGCCCTCGAACCATGTGCACCAGATATGGTGCTTGAACTGGAGGAGTGACAGAGACAGCAACCCGCAGAGTAATTGGCTGGGAGCCTACAACTTCAGAACTGGATACCAAGTCAAACCATTTATCAACTGAGAGTTTGGAAATGGAGTTCAGCAGCTCCTGTAGCGCGATTGAAGTAGTTCCCAAAATTTTGAGTGAATTTTCAGTGTGCAAGCTAGAAGGCAAGTATGACATGAGTTCAAAAAGCAGCTCTCCAGTAGGTTCACAACGGAGAGCTGCAACTTGCTTCTTCCCTAGCTCAGACATAATGCTTAATCTTCTTTTGGTGTTGAAGAGCACATCTGGCTGTTTCTTACTGAAATAGACAAAGAGACTGCCTGTATGACCAGCTGGTAAGTTCCTTACCCCCACAATCTCCAGGAAAACCTGAACAGGAATTGGAAACAATAAAGCAAAAATCTCCAATGTACACAGACTGAACAACTTTGATGGACGGCTATCAATTTCCAAGGATCATGTGCTTGGAAACTGAAATACCAAAGCATTATAGTTTCACTTAAAATAATCTTACACATAAAAGAAAACTTTCGGTGATAGTTAAGGATCACCACAGTCCACTTTTTCTGCATATGTAATTTGAATAAAACNGAATATCCCACGAAGCATAGCTCCTTGGGTCATCCCATAGATTTACCCTCTTTTGTTTTTGTGGAGAGACTACTTTGCACAAGATCCAGTATTAATCTGGTATGTAAGCGGGAAAGTATTGTGATGATCTATTGGTGAGAGTAGAAGTAAATTCCAACTTCAAAATATTGAAAATAGTGATAACCAATACAATATGTTTCACTTATTTATGACTTTAATTTGGTGCAATGCCTTATTTTGTCATCTTATAAGCAAAGCAGTGAGGCAAGCTTATTTCTTCTGAGAAACACCATCAACCCCTTCAACATTCTCCTTCACAACCTCCGCCACTACAAGTTACACCACCACAGCTGCCACCACATCCGCCACCACAGCCACCAGACCCGCCGCAAGCACTAGCTCCAGTCAACCCACTAAAACAGTGGCTCTTCATTGTACTTGCATGGACACAGCCACCATATTCTATGCTCAAAAGGCCTTTTTGGACAGTTCCATTTCTCTTGCTGCATTCTCCACTGCATGGGCAATCCTTTTCTGGCATTGCTTCATGAGCCTCTCTAATTTTCTCTCTTTTCAAATTTGAAGAACCGTAGCCTTCTTTCAGTAAAATGTCGGAAAGTATGAAGGCCAGGGTGATTCCAGGCAATACAAACCCTTGTTCCTCAACCTGTTCCATCTCATACACAAATTCAAGCATTTCAATTTTACTGAGGAGCTTCAAATTTGAGTTAATGAAATAAGCAAATGAAGAAACAATGGTATCTACCCGGAGAAAACCCGATTTCAGGTTAAGCAAAGCTATTGCTTTTCCGTAAGGATCTTCATCAGAGAATTCTACTACTGTCATGAAATCCCTTTCATCTTCCTTCCTCTTGCAATCCTCTATTTCGTATGCCAGTTTTCTTCCATGAAAAATCGTTATCTGGAGCAAAAATTTATAGAGAAGTGTCGCATTTTCATGTTGTATGAAAATTAGATGTAGCTCATAGTAAATGATTAATATATGTGTTCATGTAAATTACATGGATTCGTGAGTTGGGACGAGGCTGTTCTTAATCCATCGACACCAATATGGGGCAGAAAGGAACATATTTACAGTTTTTCACCTCATTACGGATTGCATATTAATGAATTTGCAATTCAATCAACTGAGTAGTTTTACTATCATTTCTAAACTATCAGTAATTATGAATTAGATCTTAGTATTTTATGCTTGAACTTCAACTAATTTGAATGGAATTTTTTCAGGACGGATTGAAAAGCATTCCAGTGCCATAAAGATGCTTCAATCCAAGAATATGATATTGGAGGGAAAAAAGTGTTGATATTTCAGAAAACTCCCATGGAAGTGTCATGTGGAAATTGAATAAAGAGCTTTACAAATCACATTAATTTATCAGCAAGTTTTACCACCAACATAGACTGCCAAAATGTATTTTTTGGTATTTATAGCAGATTGTCTGATAGAACGAGGGGAGAAACAAAAGAAGAGACTTTGGAAAAGTCCCAGCCGATTGATGTGCTTCCAAGTTCCAAGGTACTCTGATCAGTGGTCATGAACAAGAAAGTTCTGAAATTGCTTTTAAGGGAATTTTTTTCATTATTTTGCTTGGTGGTCTGATTCTTTTGCAATACTGGTGTTACATTTATAAACCAAGCCAGTGATGATATATGTAAGGGGTAGATATCGCTACGGATCTCATCCCTCCACTTGAAGGATTCCGGCTGACCTGGCGGCACCGAGCCCCAGTAGCTTTTACCTCTCTTCGCCAATAACCCCGGGGAAGACGACTCTCTTCCGATGTAGGATTGCCTTAGGAAAGGGTCCTATTTGCCTTAGGAAAGGGTCCTATGGTCCTATTGGTGAAGAGAGGTAAAGGCTACTGGGGCTCGGTGCTGCCAGGTCAGCCGGAATCCTTTAAGTGGAGAGATGAGATCCGTAGCAATTTCTACCCCTTACAATATAGATACTGACCTTTCTGCTGCCCATAAGCTCAAATGCAATGTCATCTTCACTAGCATTCTTCTGAAGCTGAAAGGACCATTGGGAACCCATCAAAGACCATCCTTCTCCAAGCAACTCCACAAGAAGACATGTTTTACCAGATCTTGTTACGCCAATTACTTCTTTTCTAGAAGTACAACTGCTCTTCCCCTCTGATTTCTTTGGATCCCCACTACAAACAGAGCCCAAATTATTGACATTAGACCTTTAGAATGGTTTATAATTTCAAGTTCTATCGTGTGATTACAAATGCCTTGGAAAATTTATGAAAATGAGAGAGATTAAGATAGTTTATGAAGATGATACAATAATATAAATAATTCATTGCATTATGCAGTTGCCCTTCAAAAGCATGCTCATAAATGAGTATGCACCTCATTCGGACACTGATGACCTCGTTGCCAGCCTCATCTACAATACATGTCCAACTCTTGGCCTGTTGAAACCTTTCAGGAAGTGGAAAGGAAGAAGTGCTTGATAATGGGTGCCCTCGAACCATGTGCACCAGATATGGTGCTTGAACTGGAGGAGTGACAGAGACAGCAACCCGCAGACTAATTGGCTGGGAGCCTACAACTTCAGAACTGGATACCAAGTCAAACCATTTATCAACTGAGAGTTTGGAAATGGAGTTCAGCAGCTCCTGTAGCGCGATTGAAGTAGTTCCCAAAATTTTGAGTGAATTTTCAGTGTGCAAGCTAGAAGGCAAGTATGACATGAGTTCAAAAAGCAGCTCTCCAGTAGGTTCACAACGGAGAGCTGCAACTTGCTTCTTCCCTAGCTCAGACATAATGCTTAATCTTCTTTTGGTGTTGAAGAGCACATCTGGCTGTTTCTTACTGAAATAGACAAAGAGACTGCCTGTATGACCAGCTGGTAAGTTCCTTACCCCCACAATCTCCAGGAAAACCTGAACAGGAATTGGAAACAATAAAGCAAAAATCTCCAATGTACACAGACTGAACAACTTTGATGGACGGCTATCAATTTCCAAGGATCATGTGCTTGGAAACTGAAATACCAAAGCATTATAGTTTCACTTAAAATAATCTTACACATAAAAGAAAACTTTCGGTGATAGTTAAGGATCACCACAGTCCACTTTTTCTGCATATGTAATTTGAATAAAACCAAAATTGAGGAAGTGGCAAGGGAAAGTTTAGGGTACCTCCACGAGCATTTTCCGTGGCAGATAAATTATTTTGTCATACTCAATTGAGGGAACTATTTCCTTGCTCACAGTCTTAAACGGGCTGAANAACCAAAATTGAGGAAGTGGCAAGGGAAAGTTTAGGGTACCTCCACGAGCATTTTCCTTGGCAGATAAATTATTTTGTCATACTCAATTGAGGGAACTATTTCCTTGGTCACAGTCTTAAAAGGGCTTTTNCGAGCATTTTCCGTGGCAGATAAATTATTTTGTCATACTCAATTGAGGGAACTATTTCCTTGCTCACAGTCTTAAACGGGCTGAAATTGCTCAGGAGAGGAGATGGGCCACTGCCTCTAAACATTGTCCCAGCCTTCCAATACCTCAAACCAAATGTATCTTCCCACTGCTTTGTGGTTGCAGTAAATCCAACATCCAGCTTATTCCCTTCAGTTCTATCAGAATCTGTGTCATCGTGCTCTAGTACCTTGCCTAGTATTGCCATCAGATCCTTGCAATAAGATATCGGATGCAATTGGTGAGAGTGCCAGATAAGGTCAATGTCATAAGTTGGAACACAGAAGCGCTTCATATTTCTCTCTGTATTTTTCTTGATCAGATACAGGAACCCCTTGTATCTTTCAACAGCCCCTTCAAGGAAGAGATCATCATTCATACTCGGTGTAGATACCTGTCAAATATGTTTACACGAAAAAGGTACACAGTTCTAAGTTAACAAAAATGGTGGGACTTTGGCTGTTGAAATCTCAAACATGGCTAAATATCCACTTGGTTCTTTTGGGGGTGGGGATCATAAAGTTTATATGGTGCCAATAACCACAGCTCAACCTTGAATTCTTGCAACTGATCAACAAAATAGATGTATGATATTGGAGTTGCATTATCAAATTCAGTTCACCCTTATTTTACCGAGGCATTTGTATTCCTTCCACATTCCATTGTTGCTTCAATAGGANGGTTCTTTTGGGGGTGGGGATCATAAAGTTTATATGGTGCCAATAACCACAGCTCAAACTTGAATTCTTGCAACTGATCAACAAAATAGATGTATGATATTGGAGTTGCATTATCAAATTCAGTTCACCCTTATTTTACCGGGGCATTTGTATTCCTTCCACATTCCATTGTTGCTTCAATAGGAATTCACAAACAAATTTTTCTTGTAAAATGCTTTGCCTGAGTGAATTTACTTCACAAAAACACTTGATCTTCACTAGTTTTTACATCCTCCTGTTGTGCTTACCTTTTTTTGAAAAGAACAAGCATGCGAAATTTANAGTGAATTTACTTCACAAAAACACTTGATCTTCACTAGTTTTTACATCCTCCTGTTGTGCTTACCTTTTTTTGAAAAGAACAAGCATGCGAAATTTATTACCTTTTTTTGAAAAGAACAAGCATGCGAAATTTACAAGTTTTTTGTCACCTGAAAGTAGAAAGGACTTTGCCTTTTAACAGCTGAAACGAGATCATAATTGGTGCTTCCTGATGCTGGCAACATATTTTCAGCANATGCGAAATTTATTACCTTTTTTTGAAAAGAACAAGCATGCGAAATTTACAAGTTTTTTGTCACCTGAAAGTAGAAAGGACTTTGCCTTTTAACAGCTGAAACAAGATCATAATTGGTGCTTCCTGATGCTGGCAACATATTTTCAGCCGCATTTTGTAAGTGGACAGTCCAATTCAGCTCATACGACTCGTTTGGATACATCATCTTCCAGATTTCTTCACTTTGTTGTTTGGAAATGCCCTGTACTGAGGACACAACATTTTGATTATCAAGGATCCTCCCAAACAGCTCCTTGCAATCGACCATGTACCGTACCTGACATCAATGAGCTTATCTTAATTAGTAGTTTTATGTGATGAACTTTGGTACATGCCGAGTGTGCTATAATCTTAAGAGCCTACCGGATTGAGCCTGTGACAATGCCAGATCCATTCACAATCAAGAGGCACTACCAAAGGGAACTCTGGAAACTGGGACTCGGCATGTTTGGCTAGTAAAGGAAGCCAACAATATTTGTACCTGAAATTCACATACATGTCAACACGTCCCTAACTCGTTGTTCAAACTCCACAAGTGAACTGCATGATTTGATAAGGTTCAATTCTTCACAATTTTTCATGAGCATGGACGAGAGAGCATCAGAAAGTGTGATTAATTCCTTCAGGATTGAAATTCTGTTAGGCTTATAAAATCATAGAGCAATAACTTGGTATCATATGTACCTATATATGGCTCTCTCTAAGGCAGGGCCATCATAGAGGTGGCGATTCTTATCGACAGCTGCTAGAAATTTTAGCTGCTGCTTGGCTGCAGCCACAAGGTCTTGGCTTATGCCAATCTTCTGTGCTTCAACCCATTCAAGTTCTTGATTCTTCTCCATCCCTCGGTTCGAAAACGATGAACTACTAAATGATTTTGCTGTAATGCAGATTCAATGACACAGCATAGAAGTACTTAAGATTATGGTTTGTGTATTAATCTTTCAAATGTGGTAGTTTAAAGAGTACAGACCATCCCTTTTAATGACCCATAACGGCCATACTTCTTTCGTTTGGTTTTGGTTTCATGCCTCATGTACCTTCCTGGATATATGCAGATTTAGTGGAAGTGTAAAGCTACCATGAGAATTGCACTCTAAGGCAGTTCCTGATATTGAGGTTCACACATAAATAGCAGGTTCCATCTAGATTTTGACTAATTTTTTCAATTGGAGGAAGTGCAGTATCTATGTGTTGAATTCTACGGTATATTTAACAATATAATAAATTATTATTTTTTGAAGTTCCTTGTGAAGCTTTGAGGGATGCATCCATGGCTTATGGCTCTGAACACAGGACAATAAGATCACATGATACTAAGGTCGGACTTAATTGTATTCTTCCTCAAATTTAGGTTCATACACCAAGCCAATTTAGGTTGGGGATAAACTACACTAACATCCCCTAAGTCTTGAAAAAATAGCATACAGATCCCATGGTATTTGAGTTTGTGTCATGTATAGGGACATTTGATATTGAGGAAAATTGAAGTCTCAAATTGCGCATTGGCCCCCTTTTTTGTTTATAAATATTTAACTTTGTTGGATAAAGATAAAATAGTTTTTTCATTGTCGATTGCACCAGCTCCAAGAAACTGTTTTTACACTTCTTAAAAAATATCAGTTGTTGTCCTGCTAATTTGAGANTTTTTTCATTGTTGATTGCACCAGCTCCAAGAAACTGTTTTTACACTTCTTAAAAAATATCAGCTGTTGTCCTGGTAATTTGAGAAAAAAAACACCCTCAAGAAGCATAAAAGTTTTTAGCTTAATTTATTGTAAAACTAAACTCAAATTTGAAAACTTGCATTATTACTTGGGTAAAAATTATAGTTGGTCCATGGACTTTGTTTTCGATTTTAATTTTATCCATAATCTTTCAATTGTCACAATTTAGTTCATCAACTATCAATTTTTATTTCAATTACATCATGTCATCAATTTTAATTGTTAGATTAACACTGAAATAGATCAAATTGGGCTAATCTCCAATTGATTTAATGATAAAATTGATGAAAAGACTTACTTAAAACAAAATTGATTGTTGAAAGATTGAACTGGGGCTATTAAAAATTCAGAGACTGAATTGGGGCAACTAAAAATTCATAGATTAAATTGAAACCACAAATAAAATTTAGGGACCAACTATAATTTTTTCCCTAATTATCTCCATTGTCCAAATGCTGACCCAATACCAAAGCAATTTCTTTTTTTTTTTTGGGCTACAAGGTGTTCAAGCTTGCGTTAACTACTCTCTTGCGCTTTGAGCTCTAAGTAGGCCACCATAACTTGAACTAGTTTAAAAACATATCTTCTGAGGAACAAATGTGATTGACACTTATGTTGTGAAAAATATTGAACCTCAAACTTCTTAATTACAAGAGGACCGGCTTGAGTCACTTCACCACTAGACCACCCTAAGAGTTGAATATCAAAGCCTTTAGCCATATATGCATTGCACGGGCGATTTTCTGCAATGGATTGAGATCGCGATCTTCTACATAAACTCGAATGGTGAATCTGAAAACACTTAGCAAAGTCAGGAAATGGGCTAGGTGTACATCCAGCTAATTCCCTCCGATACTTAAGTCAGTCGGCGTTCAAGTGAAAATGAGTGTACAATATGTTGTAAATTCAGATTGCATACTTGAGTCTCATTTTTATAAGAGTATTTATACTTCAACACACAATAATACAACTCCTACTCTGAGTCCCATCCTAGCATTTAGTAGTATGGGTTCACCATCTAACATAATGAGTACTCTCCCATCACTTTTCACTAATATTGAGCACTCAGATGCCTGGACTCGCCCTTGGCCACGCACCAACTATTAAAAACTCATTCCCCGACCAACGAGCAATCTAAAAAAATATTCAGACCTTATGGCTGAGCCATAATGAATGGTTGTTACATCCTCTCAGGAGCTCCCAAGGGCTCCTTCCTCGATTTAGTTGTTATTAATGCAAAATAATTGGCAAGACTCTAGGTGGCTCTACAGCCCCCTAGTTGACACGTGGAATAATGAAGCCGGTGGGATGTCCAAAGAGCGCCGAGGAGATAAGTCAAGGTATGGTGACACGGAGCAGTCGAGTACAACAACTGACATCGTATTTAATGCGATATGACTCCTCATTTATGGTGAAATGAGTTATAATGATAAGGCAAATAAATGTTCATCTGCTAGCACCTGCCCTCTGGGAGTCTAAGTCTACTGTCATGATGGCTAAGCATTAATGACTGACGCGCCGAGACAACGCGATCGGCTCCCCCGATGAATTGTTCCTCCCGAATATTCAATGCTCAGTTGATGTCAGATGCCGATCTGGGAGATTTGGGTATTCGGGGAGTGGCATAAATGCTCGGCATCTATCTGAGCATTTATCCCATTTTCCTAGCATTCAATAGGAGGAGACGTGAATAGAAAACACTCATTGCGCGAGGAATAGTGTGTCAGACGTAAGATGTCCAGATAAGACTGGAGATCTTTGATAATCATTGCTAATTTAAGTATAAATACTCCTCAAAAAAATAGACAAAGGTACGCAAACTCGAATGAGAAAAATAGTTCATTGAGCAAAATCTTTCGACCTTATACTGACTTAAGTTTCGGAGGGGATTAGCCGGGTACTCGTCTGACCCCCTTTTTATGACCCTGTTGTTTTAGGTTCGCCAGCTTGAAGATCGTTGTCTCATTCTATTGCAAAAATTATTCCGTGCAATAATGATAACTATCTCCCACGATTTTAGAAGATTAGACCGTCATTAATAGCATGTCTTTCCGTCAGGACTCCCATTAATGCTCCGTTTTATGATATGTAAGGTCTGACATTAGAAATAATGCTCGGTCCTGAATGTTTTACTCACTAGGCATGACCTATCATCTCATTTTTACAAGTTGCATAACGTCCTGACATGCATGATACAGGTGGCCAGTGTTGTTTTATTGAAGATGGCACTAGAGTCATCACTCAAGGCAGATTTCAACAATGTCATAATGTAGATAGATTTATTATCTGACTATATAGACCGTACAAAATGGCAACTACACAACCAAGAGTTCATTCAGTTGACATCAATATGTCGACTTAATGCCTTGGTATTGTGATGTCTGGGTAATATTAAAATATCAAATTGAATATCATACTAAAAATTATAATTTTTTTAAAACAAGTTACAATTAAATAAATTTAATTACGATAAGTGTGCGAGACAATTTTCACACAATAAATAAAAAGGACAGATATGTTCTTTGATAAACACAAGATTTACCTAAAAGTCGAGGATCTCATAGCAACAGGAAGTGAGAAAGATATTAAGGAGTGGTGATGAATAACTTTCTCGGCAGTCTGTGCGATTCTGACGTGTCGAGATGAACTCTGCCACTCAAAAAATAAAGTTTGAAGAGCACTGGAGTGTTTTCTGGCATGACCCCTCCGACGATTAAGTCAATACGTGAAAGAAGGGGGAAAGAACATTGTTCTTTTATTTGGATGAGAGTTGCGTCCCTTTGCCTTACATTTGTGAGAACTATTTATACCTCAATGAAGGTAATCATTGCGGATAGGTGGGTCCCTTAGAGAGGAAGTCCCTCATTGGTCCCTTTGGAAGACAATTTGTGGAACATAGTCCTTGGGTAGAGCGTCTTCCTTGTCAGATGAAAATAAGCTTTAGCATTTAATGCTCGGGCCCCCAAGCAGTTAATGCATTTCCCTTGGAGTCCGCTGAACAATATATGTATCACATCCTTCTAATGAATCATTTAATGTTCTTTATTGTGGCTGCGCATGCGCTAGGGCATTTGTGTCCCTTGCCTTTCCAGGAGGTCAAGTCATCTGGGCTTTGTACTTCATGAACTCTCTCTATTGGTCACCAAATTGTCTACTTTATCATTCTAACTACCTTGGAAAGAGGGTTTGATGATTAAAAGTCACACATTTCTTTGATGTGGTGACGTTATTCTTGATTTCTCTAAGAACTCAACTATTTGTCATAGCCCAAGTCCCAAGGTGGTCACCATTACCTCGACGGAGCGGAGGACCCGACGTGGAGGGCACGTGTCGGGTAGAGGTCTCCTCGGAAAACTTTGGGAGCTGAGGACAGGTGTCACGTGATGAAGGCTCCGAGGTGCTTTTAGTACCGAAGACACGTGTCACTTGCAGAAAGCTCCGATGTGCATTTAGCACTAAGGTGACATGTCATATGGAAAGTGCTCCGTAGAGAAGATGTCGATGACTCCACAAACAAGATGTCGAGAACTCTGCAGATAACATGTCGAGGACTCTGTGGACAGCATGTCGAGAACTTCACGAACAAGATGTCGAGGACTCCACGGACAACATGTCGAGGACTCCGTGGACATTCGAAAAACACTCCGCAGACAAGATACCGAGGACTTCGCAAACAAGATGTCGAGAATTCCGCAGATAATATGTCGAGGACTCTGCAGACATTCAGAGAATACTTAGCAGACAAGATGTCGAGGACACATGTTATCCAATAACATTCAACGACCAATATATCATGGACACATGTCTCGTCTCCCATAACCACAAAAAATGTCTCATCAATAAGAAACTTATAATAATTCTGAATGGCCGGAAAGATTCCAAAAAATTATATTTTGTTGTGACTGCACTAGAATCAATAACCTCAATTTCAATAATTAAGAATAATTCTTTGGCGGTACTTTGCACATGATGTCTAGAATAAGCATTTATCCCATGCTTTTCATTTTAAGATTATTTTTTTAAATAATAATCTCATCGGAGGCAAGTGGTTAAATTCTTCGGAACGACAAGGCCCCTTGGACAAAATTTATGCAGATTGTACAAAGTGAACGAAA